TGTAAAAATCAGCATGGAAACAAATATAATTTTCAACTTGAGATGGGAGTTAGCAGGTGTGAATATAGATTACAAGAGCCTTAGAAACACAAAATTGCACAAGATTAAGATATAATTGTAAAGTAGTTATTTTAGACGAATTATAAATGTGAACAGGAAAAGCATGGGAACAAGCTTAAAATAACTGTCTTTATAACTGAAAACAGAAATGGGGTGAATCGAATGAAGACAGAGGGAGTAAGATTCACACAAAAACAGCGAACGAAAAAAGATCAAAAAGAAAAAAAAGGAAGCTTAGTGAACATACCGAACTAGGTTCATGGTAGTTGTAGAGGTTGGACTAATTTCTTTTGAACACACAGCTCCGGCTTCTCGATGCATATGGCGAGGGCTTCTGCAGCACAAAAAAATTCGGAAACACACTGCTTTTGGTAGGTTTCTGTTGACTTTGTAAATGACACTTTGAAAGAATCAGTTGAGATGTTGTGGGAGGTGTTGTTGATCAGATGTTCAAAAATAGCACTTCTGATTGAACCGGTGCCATCTCTTTGCAGCCACGTTGGGTAATGTTCTCTAACACGTTTTGAAAGGAGGCGCATACAACGACCTGTATAACTAGCTCATGTGACTAGATATCATTTTTATACTGTTGTTGGTCATTTTGATGTAGTTGTGTTCTCCTAAACTGGTTGACAGTTTACTTGTGAAGCTTATTTGGCTTTATACTGAACAACATTTTCAGTGCATGGTTCTACGGCTTTATCAACTATCGGCAAAGTTCAGCAATAGCGTCCCAGGAGTGTGAACGCACGATTAACCTTCAGCTGACCAATTATAAAAATGAGGAGTGTTTGCTCAAAATATGATGTGTATATTAACAAGAAAATGCTCAAAAACGCATTGAACAGGTTATCTTTCTCTGATATGACTTCAAAATACATCCTAGTTGTAACGAGGAGTATCAGTTGCTAAGTTAGACTAGATTCTGTACATGTATTCAACAAGATGACTACAGATTAAACTGTTTTGTGAATCGTTTATCTCTCTCATTCTGCTTGTAGTCTTCCGAAATAGCCCTTGGTTGAATTATTATGGTTTCCAGCAAGAGGATAGACGACTGCTAAGCAGGAAAACGTAGATAATAAAACAAATTAAAATAAATGACATCAACTATAAATCTATCCCTAATCGTAACCATAAGCTTAATCCTGACCCTAACACTAACCCTAACCCTAATCCTTACCCTAATCATAACCCTTATCCGGACCATAATTCTAACCCTAAGGCGAATTATAACCTTGATCCTAACCCTAACGAGCTATTAACACATTGTCCAAATAGTACTTAAAAATAGTGATCTGGGTGAAATTCACACCTAAGTTGGTGAATAGCGTTGAAATTTCAGCTATGTGATAATGACAGATGCCGTTAGCCAACGATTAGCATTCGTTCAAGGTCATTGGAGCATTCACACTCCTGGTACGCTATTGTTGAACTTCACCTAACTATTTGTCTTCTGGTAACTCTGAAAGTGACTGGCCGTTTTTTTGTGTATTGCCTTAATTTCTAGTTCACTTGGGACAAGTTAAACTTTAGGCACCACTAACTAACTACCAGTAGAGTATGACCACACCAATGATCTCGAAATGTTTACTGAGCAAGTTAGTGAAACCTGGCAAATAATGTTGTCATCATCAATCAAAAATATGTTCATCGAATTGTCATGTTATTCAATGGGATATGTGGGAAATTTCAGCTTAGATTTGGAAAAAGATTAAGTTACGCTTTAAGGCAAGGATAAGTTGGGGTTAGGCTAAGCTAATAAAGGCGACAATGAGGTTGGTTCGGGTTAGATTACAGTTATTACATATTAGTTTGTTTATTAGATATATCACACAGTGAGTGAAACAGTATTATTTACTGGATGACAAGGTTTCAAACAAAATTTATTGCTGTTCATAATCATATCAATTATAATCACACGACTTCGAAACTTGACTTTCATATTTTTCTTTATTCTCTCCTATTTGTCCTCGTTGGGGTAGTAGAATTTTCCGGATATCTGACTGGACAGGTGTTGAACCGTTCCTATTACATGTATTCTCTTCAGTTGATTCGATAAATAAAGCTTCCATGGTTATCAATCTCTGCCTCCCTGCACCCTGTGACAATAGATTTTAAAACTGTCATCTTATCCCATCCAGCCTATTGTATGATTGTGTGTGATTGCATGTAATGCTATGGTTGAATTATTCTCTAGATTATATATATCCAAACCAAGTTCACTTTTAACGGTTTGAAAAAATTTGGGCATTGGGTATATGACATTCATTATAACAAAGGTTTTTTGTATTTCCCAATGAATGAAAACAAAACGATATTGTTTTTACTGACGTTTCGCTATTTAATGCTAATAGCTTTCTCAAAGTATTATTAAACCGGAATTTACAAAATCTCAGCATATATATATAACAAAGAGTTAAGGGATGAGAAAAATAGACATAGTTCAACTTAAAAGAACATATTGAAAGTCAAAATAACAATGAAAATCACTAAAACCAAATATCAAAGGTAATAAATAGTATATCTGTTATTATATCTTATTATTATTATATCTTATTCGGTAGATTTCTTATCTTATTTGGGTCAACCAATCTAGATTTTGCTAAGTTTTTATGTTCAGCTAGTCTGACTGTCCCTGTTCTACTACTTTGACCTATGTATTTGACCTGAGAATCATTGGAGGCAGGATATTACATAAACTAAATTGTTTTGTTTTAAAGGCTCCACAGGATCCTTTAACCTAGAGAAATAGTTCAGCCATAGCATTACATGCAATCACACACAACCATACAATAGGCTGGATGGGATAAGATGACAGTTTTAAAATCTAATGTCACAGGGTGCAGGGAGGCAGAGATTGATAACCATGGAAGCTTTATTTATCGAATCAACTGAAGAGAATACATGTAATAGGAACGGTTCAACACCTGTCCAGTCAGATATCCGGAAAATTCTACTACCCCAACGAGGACAAATAGGAGAGAATAAAGAAAAATATGAAAGTCAAGTTTCGAAGTCGTGTGATTATAATTGATATGATTATGAACAGCAATAAATTTTGTTTGAAACCTTGTCATCCAGTAAATAATACTGTTTCACTCACTGTGTGATATATCTAATAAACAAACTAATATGGAATTACTTAATACCACAATGCCCAAGTTTTACACATATATTGATTAGATTACAGTTAGTTTAGGGATATTTTGACGTTAGGATTATTGTAAGGGTTAGAAGACCTAAGTAATTGCATGCATAGGGTGTGGTTAAATTGCTGTGTTGATATAAGAATAGAACTTGTGCACTGCGGTGATAGAGTATAATTCCATTGTTATTATTATTGCTCCCTTGGGCTCCTAATGGAACATAGGGCTTCAACTAAACGTCTCCATTTGCTTCTGTCTTCTGCTGTACTTTTCGCCTGCATCCATGTTAGTCTATATTCTTTCAACTCCCCTTCACACAATCTCCTCCATGTCACCCTTGCACTGACGACCCACTTACCGCTTTCCATTCGGGTTCCACTCGAGTGATAGCCTGACGTGCGATGTCACCCAGCGGTCTCCTCAGCGAGTGTCCGATCCATCTCCACTTTCTTCTGCATATTTGTTGGGCGATTGGTTCTTGCTTTGTTTGCTCCCATAATTCCTTGTTGGTGATTCTTTCCGGCCATCTGATCCTCAGTATAGAGCGAAGACAGTTGTTAATAAAGGTCTGCAACCGCCAAGTTTCTGATCCGTATAGAAGAACTGACTGACCTGACGTTTGTATTGAAAATCCGACTGAATTTTGTTGTTGATGCAGGCTGAGGGACGAAAATTTCCAGATTGATTTCATGTTGATGAATGTGTTTCTCGCTCGCCTTCCCGATTCTCGCTCGATTTGACATCCTCGTCCGTTCCGACTTCCTGTAGTTGAGACAATGCTCCCTAGATAAGCGAATGAAGTATCCTCTTTCAAATCCCTCCTGTTGATGGTGATTGATGTTGGATGTTGTTGCTGTTGTTGGTTGGTTATTTTCATAACCTCCATCTTGTCTATGTTCATATGGAGTCCTGTTTTCGCCGGCTGCTTCTTCAACCAGTTTGTCGGTTTTCGCTTGTAAGTCTTCGATTGTGTGTGACATCAGACACAGAACATTGCCGCGCGAAATCCAGGTCTTCTAGGTTCTTCACGTCTGTCCAGGATATCCATGTCTTCTCTTTTCCCACTGTCTGACGCATAATCCAGTCCACCACAATTAGGAATATCATCGGTGATAATAAGTACCCTTGTCTGACTCCTGTGTTTACTCCAAACGCCTCGCTGAGTTTTCCGTTGTGGATCACTTGACATGTGCCGTTGTCGTACAGCTGTTGAATAAGGTTGATGAATATTTGGGGTACGCCATAGTACTCGAGTAATTTCCAAATTACTTCACGATCAACGCTGTCGAAGGCCTTCTCAAAGTCTATAAAGTTGAGGTAGAGGGGTTTGATTGCCATTCCATGCTTTGTTCTGTGATGATGATGCGTAGAGCTGCAATTTGGTCAGTACATGATTTGCCTTTCCTGAATCCAGCTTGTTCTGGTCGGAGTTCTGTCTCCAGTGCGTCCTTTAATCCCTCCAGGATGATGCGACTCAGGATTTTACTTGGCGTCGATAGGAGCATGATTCCTCGCCAGTTCTTGCAGAGTGAGGCGTAAGTCGCCCTTCTTTGGTAGTTTCACGAGGTAACCTTTCCTCCAGTCAGTAGGCACCTTTCCCTCCTTCCAGACCTTTTGCAATAATGAAGTCAGCATGTCTGCTCTAGTCTCTGGGTCCGCTTTCAGTGCTTCAGCGGGTGTTCCATCTGGTCCATCTGCTTTTCCAGCTTTCAGAAGCTTGATTGCATTCAAGACTTCAGCTCTCGTTGGAGGATTGGTGTCAACTTGCAGTTGTGTGCGCGCTGTTTTTGGTATTTCTGGACGGGTTGCAGGTGATGGTCGGTTCAAGAGTCCTTTGAAGTGATCCGCCCATTGTTTAATCTGTTTTTCTTCCTTGGTAATTGGGTTCCCTTGGCTGTCTTTTATAGGTTTCGCTTGTGTTGATCTCTTCCCGGATAGAGATTTGGTTATCTGATATAGTGTCCTCAGGTCCCTTTTGCCTGCTGCCTTCTCAGCTTCAGTGGCCAGATTGTCGTAGAATCGTCTTTTGTCCTTCCTAGCACTCTTCTTCACTTCTTTGTCCAGTGCTTTGTAAGTTGAGCTCAGCGTCTCCTTCTCCTGTCCGTCCTTGCATTGAATCATTTTCTCTTTCACCATTCTCTTCTCTTCTATTAATTTCCAAGTGTCCGTTGAGAGCCATTCCTTGTCTTGTCTCTTCTTTCTTCCTAGAACCGTTGAACACGTTTCGTTGAGAATCGCCTTCAGAGACTTCCAATGTTCTTCCACGCATGATTCTTCAGTGATGTCGCGTAGTGTTTCCTGCTTTGCTCTGACAGTTGCAGTGAAAGTGTCTTTTGTGGTTGTGTCCTTCAGTTCTGAGTGTTGAACTTGCATTGTGGCCTATCCCCAGCTATCCTCGAGGCTTTTAGTTTCACCTTGAAAGTCCCTTCTACTAGATAGTGGTCTGAACCCACATCTGCTCCTCTCCTTGACCTTGTGTCCAGTAGGCTCCGTCTCCACTTTCTTGAAATTGAGATGAAGTCTATTTGGTTTTTGGTGTTTCCATCTGGTGAAATCCATGTCGTCTTGTGTATATCCTTGTGTTTGAACACACTACCACTAATCACCAAATCATTGAAGGCGCAGAAGTCTGAGAAGAGTTCACCATTGTCGTTCATTTCACCGAGGGCCTCACGACCCATGGTGAGTTCTCTTCCTGTGTTGTCTCCTCCCAGCTTCGCATTCATGTCGCCCATCAGGATTTTGATATCGCCATTTGGGACGTTGTCCATTATTGCTTGTAGTTGTCTGTAGAACGCCTCCTTCTTCTCTTGTTCTGAGACGTTTGTAGGCGCATAGCATTGAATGACTGTAACTTTCCTTCCTTTTGAGTTGAACCTGGCTGTCATTATCCTGGAGGAGATTGGTTCCCACTGCATGAGAGCTTTGGCTGCTGTTGGTGACATCATGATGGCCACTCCCTCGGTGTGCTCGTGGTTGTCCTCTGGGTGGCCGGAAAAGATTACTGTCTCTCCAGTAGGTAGTTGGCACCTTCCAGTTCCGTTCCATCTGCTTTCGCAGATTCCCAACACTTCTATTCTGTACCTTCTCATTTCAGCGGCTATCTGGGCAGCCTTTCCAGTTTCGTACATTGTACGAACATTCCAGGTACCCATCCTTACTTTTGCTTTCATCGAAAGAAGGCACATCGGCTGACTGGCTTCCCGAAGGCTTTCACCAGCCTGCGTCATTTCACTCCCCCGATTCCAGCGAAAAGTAAGGCTATTGCTTATGTTTTTAGAATTTTTAATATATTTATTCGTTGAAGTTTCTGTAGCGATTTGGTTGTTTTACAGGGGTGGAGTTGCTAGCACCACGCCCCAACCCTCCCTCTTTACCCGGGCTTGGGACCGGCTAGAAAGCTAGTAAGCTAGTATCTGGCGAGGTTATAATTCCATTGTGGGTAAAAGTTATTCTGATAAAGTCAGTTCCACAGTGTTATACAGTAATATTTCCTGATGACCACGTTTAGAGCACAATTTATTGCTCAGTAAATATGATTGCATAACAAGCTGTGAGACTTTATCAAAATAAATTTTACCGACGATGGAATTATACTCTGATGATACTCCAACCTAAAACTGAGAGCTATTTTATCACATGTGAGAGGAAGTTATCCTCTGTAACACTTTTTGTTGTAATTATTTGTAATAGTAGTATTAGTATTTCGAGATGACCGAATTACAAGAATCCAACCAAAACACAGAGAGGGCGGAATTCAGGAATTTGTATTTAGCGGAATTATAATTCAATTCATATAAGAAATACATTAACAATCAACAGTAAGTATTTAAACAATACAGAGATAGAAATTGTCAATCACCAAACTTTTCTACAGTTTTTGTGCATTTTTTTATATAAATATGGGTATTCCATACACATGAAATGTCTCCTTCATGTGATTGTTGCGTTCGAGGTCATTTGTCTTCACTTGTGTTGATAGTGATTGTTTCTTTGATGTGAAGTTTGAATTTTTGTGCATGACAATTTCATCTTATGGATTGGTAAATTTTATCTATGTCAGTATGTGCGTGTTCTTAATTACCGATTCACTTGAATACCTGTCTTCCAAAAACTCTCTTGTGTTTTAGATGTTTCTTCTGTCTAATTATTTGAACGTTGTCCCAGTTGAATGAATGTCCGTGATTGTTTGTATGGGCAGTTATTTGAGGGAGTGCATATCATGCCTGTCGACGGCTAGTTTATTTATGTTCATGGATGCGAAAATGAAGAGGTCGTCCACTTCGGCCAATCTACTGTTTTTCGCAATCTTTGCCCTTTTTTGTAGATTATGTCGGTTTTATTTTCTTTCGCTGTTGAGTCTTTTGGTCGACATAATAATAATTTACTTTATTCCAAAAACAGTATTTGTGATACAGAATGGAATTTTCAGCATTAATCACAATATTGCATCTAATTTTCTCAAATTATAAATAAAATTAATCACGCAGAAAATTTTCCACATTAACAATAGGGGTAGTGTCAAAAACATGCACCATATAAAATGAAAATAATAATAATAATAACAGCTAAGGTAATAACAATAATAGTAATAGAAGTGAAAATTCCCGTGGGCTTGTTTCACACAGTATTGTCGATGCGGTATAGAAATCCTAGTATGTTTAAAAATATTGAATATAATGTTCTCTTTACATGATGATGATGGTGAGGGGAAAAACAAAGATTACAGCAGTCATTGAGATAAGTTGGTGTTTGCAATTATGAAAGTAAAACAAACAAAGAAGCAACAGGACCATAAATATAATAGAAATAATAAAAGTAAAACTTGAAGATATATAAGGATGGATGAAGGGAATTGTTTATTTACTAGATGAAAAAGGTTAGTTAATTCTTGTCTGACATAGAGCTGTGAGTGAAGTAACCAGAAGGTCCTGGGTTCGAACCTCGGCGGGGCGTACTGCTGAAGAGTCCTAAACTAGGCTCACGAAACAGCTGTTCAGTACTCTCTGGCAGGTTTTCCAATGGTTCTCTAACCAGTGTCAGCTCATGATGAAATCCTGTAACCAGTCAACCAAATCCCTACAAACCAATACTTAAAGTGATTTTGTTGGTTTGTTCGCGACATTAATTCTCAAATGTTTGAAGAGTCATGTAGTGATTTCTGAGATGTCCTTGATATATGGTAGGGCGATTTTCTTTGTGCTGTCCTCGGGGAACTTTGATTAAGTTGGTTGGGTTGTGAGGGTAGATATCTTATGATGAAGTTTCATGGATATCTATCCTTTTAGGAGACGTTCATGGGGTTTTTTCTTCAATTTTTTTCATGATAGAGGAGTGCTGCAATGAGTCCTTGCTCTCTTGAGTAGTGTTTGCATGCGACTTTTTGCGTGTTTTTGGGCTGCTTCCGTGGTAGCTGAGTATTGTTCTATGTGGGTTGAATTTCAGCAAACTTGACACATTTGTGATCATCAAAAGAAATGACTTGGGAAAAAATCGTAGCCTAATGACACAACATCTTCAACAACATCAAATTCACAAGAGATGACTAGTCCGAGGACAGAATTCCATTTTTTGAAAATTTTAGTCAAGCGAACAACCACAGGCAAATTAGAATCCCAATTTTGCAGAAAATTAACTCACACGTATCAAATACTCAATTACAACAGCAGATTCTCGGCCACAGTTACTTTGGTGCTAAAGTGGTGTGCTGAATGTTTATTTTAAATTTACCATCTAGTGGTTTTTGTACTAAACAGTCCAGGAATGCAGGCTTTCCAATGGTTGTCTAACTGATGTGTGTCAGTTCATGATGTAATCGTGTAATCAATCATTTATTTAATCGGCTTCTCATCAGCTGCTCATGGACTGAATGAGTGGATTAAGCTAATGTTCATCAAACATACTTGTAAATGATATGTGATGTCAGTCAACAGGAGTCTCCAGACTTAATGAACAGTCCTGAGAAATTAAACTTATGTAGCATATAGCCAGAAAATTCAAGTTTAAACAGAAATAATAATGACTTGAACACAATCGCCAAAGAGATACACAACATTAAGACGATAGGTGAATAGCGTGATGAGTAACTAACCAAGTGAGTTACAATGTGGCAAGTCCATCTGAATTAACACAATCCAGAGATAAGCAAAGTTAAACTATAAGGAAGTGGGGTAAGAGGTTAAAGCCGAAGATTATGCGATCAAATGAAGGAATAGATAAAGATATCAATTATAACTGATTAAAAATGCCCAATTAAAATTTTCTAAAGAATGGATACTGAACAATGAATGCTCTTTTTGATAACCCCTTCATCATCAGGCTGTACAGTTATATGTACATTATAGTGAATGAATGAATGAATTAGTGTTATGAACAACATTAATGTTGCTGTTTAAGTAACATCGAATCAATAATATTGATAGATTACAGCTCAATAGCATCAACATAACAATACACACTGAATGTCAGAAAACACATTAGTAAAAATAATATTACAAACTCATGAGTTTATAGTCTCTACTGAATGCCAGGGCTGGGCAGTAGTTGGGGCTGGCTAAACTTGCTTCTTTCATATGAACACAGAACACTGCTTGTTTGAGGCGAATTGCAATACCCTCTGTTGTTTAGAGAATGCAATGCTTCGATGATGATTTTGGCAATTTATTAGACACCCGGTAGATGGTGATAGAGAAGGATTCTTCCACGCTGGCTGGCTGGGTGGCTGTGTGGCCGGCCAGTTTGCACCAAATGACGGTCCAATATCGAACTGTTAATTGTTGATGGTTTTCACTACACCCCTTACTTAACCATAGCGCGGGAGATGTTCTTGAGTGAGCGTGTAAAATCAAGTTCTTAGAGCAACGGACGACATAACTCGCTCCATCACAAGCACATTTGAATTGGTGGATACAATTTAAAGTGGCTAGCTAGTCTAGGTACTTCATATTTCAATTGAGGAAGCACTATCGGTCATGTAGAGAGTAAGACGTGTAGTTTGTCAGCATTAAAAGTACTTTGAACTGATTTTCCTAATTTCTTCGTAATTATCTCGCTTGGTATATCTCCCTTCAATTGCAGTCGTATATAAAGACGCTTCTTGTTTACAGATATTGAGTAGTCCTTTTCCGCCCCTTTCTTTATCATGGGTTTCTTGATAATATTGTCGGGATAGCTATTTTCAATCAAAGTACCATATACAATCCTTAATTCATCTTCAATTACTTCTTCTGAGTATATAGCTATAACTATGTGGCTGAGGTTTTTTACTAATTTTTTTGTATTGGAGAGGATCGAAGCTGTGAAAATGTGTATATTGTCCTGTCCTTTTCGACGTAAATTTCTTTTTATGCTACCATCTGGCTTTTTTGTATGGAGGACAGACATCCAAGAAGGCGATTAATTCTGTTTTGAGATTCCTCTTCTCACGTGAATCGCATAGCCGAATTTACTTCATTGAATTCAGTAATTATTGCACTCCTATCCTAATCATTATATCACAAAGAATGAAGGTATCATCCATATACCGGCAATCGAAAGTAGGCTATGTAAAAAGATAATTTCCGATTACTGTTTACTATAGTTTGCAGTCTCTTGACATTTGATATTGTTTGGCATTGAAATTGTTCTGTACATAAGCTTAGTAGTTCCCTTGGGCTGCACGCAGGTGATGAGTAGCTCTCTGAACGAAATGATGGTTTTGAATAAGGCGAGAATAATAGTGGTTTGTGCAGAATAACATGGTATCATCATTTATTTCGTTGCCTTCTCGTCAGCTGCCTGCTTACAGCCTAAATAAATTTTGACGTTTAAGTACAGAAACATTTTAACATACTTGCAAATTTTACATGTTGTCAGTTGACAGAAAGTTCCACAATTAGAGAACAGTGCTCAGAAAATTGCGCTTATATAGTTTTTACACAGGCAGTTCGAGTTGAAACAAAATAAATGTATGCATATAATGGTAAGGGAGTTCCATAATAAAGATGAGATGTGCGTTAGATGCATAGTGACTAATAAGTTAGGTAACAATGTACTGAGTTGAACTCAAATCATAGAAACAAGAGACAAGCAAAATTACAGATTATAATAGGAGCGTGAGGTTAAAGATAAAGATTACGTAATCAGACGAGAGAGAAAGAACATGTGCCGAAAAGCCTATGTCTCAAGGGAACAAACTCTTATAGCAGCGCTATTACCAGACATCTCCTCGACACGGGTCTTGAGGTTGAAATCGAGAAATCCTTCAAAATTATCAATAGACAAAGGAGCTCTATTCTCCTCAAGTTTGCCGAGGCAATTTCTATCAAACGCTTGAAACCAGATTTATGTGTTCAGAAAGAAGCAGTTATTGGTCTTTCCT